AAAAAAAAAAAAAAAAAAAAAAAAAAAAAAAAAAGTAAACATGCCTTGCCCAAGAGCCTCTTGCTCTTAAGGTAGTATGCAGCTGGTAAAGTTAAAGCCTGTGGAAGCCACTGCATGTTAGCTTCACTAGATTGATATAAACCATGTGACATTTCTAACCTGTTTGAGCATAGCTGTTGGTTTATGTCTTGTCACTTTGTAAGTGATGTTACACTTGCTGAATTTTATTTAGGATGATGCATGTTAGTTGTGAAAGCATCTGTTTTTGAAATAAAATCTCCCAAACTGAGACATAGCATGAAGATGCATCATCCCTCTTCACCGCCTTTCCCAAACCAGTGTTCATCTCTATGTTCTATGGAGGATCAAAAAAAAAAAAAAAAATTAAACTTTCTTCTTTCAACCCTTCTGCTTTTTATCCAGGCCTACAGTGGTACCCCACCAGCAGAAGAAAAGGAAAAAATAATTTGGGTCCGGTTTGAAAATGCAGATTTAAATGGTATGGCTTTGTTTTCTCTCTCTTATTAAGCTCTCAGGGAATAACTGGTCTTTTCTTCAGTACCTAGGAAATGGAACAAATGGGCAACTTCTTGCAACTTCCTCCACAGATTAACTGTGATTTAGGAAGGGGAAAGAGAGAATAAAAGGCAAATCCTGTTTGATCATACTGTGTTTGTAATTATAGTATTTTTGAACAATTATGTGTTTGGTCCTTTTGTCATTTTTTTTTCTATTTGGAAAGTTTGTCATGTTTTATTAATCACTACAGGTAGTTAAGACTAGAAAAGTTTCTCAGATATTTCAGGATAGCCCACAATGTAATGAAGAGCACTTTTCTCCATTTTCCATTTTAATGCTTTCTAGCCTCTCTGTGAAACTCTAATGAATGAATTGTGGGCCTAAAAGAAGTGTATTTTACCATTTCTAGTAGAGAAACTTAAGCCACTGAGTTTTGCCTTTAACAACAGAAACATGAATTGAGAAAACATTTTCTAGTTTAACCGACCCTAATCATAAGTTTTCATAACCTGTGGATCTGTGTTTTTGATATTCAAACCCAATATAGATACATCAAGGAATATGGAGTTTCATGAAATTCATAGCACTGGGAATGAGCCACCATTACTGCTCATGATTGGATACAGTGATGGAATGCAAGTCTGGAGCATACCGGTAAGTACAGGGTTAGCTTGTAGGCAAGACACRTTACCAAATACCAATTCTGGTTTGTTATACTGTTGCTGCTGTATTTTTTTTTTCCTATTAAAATCGAAGTGAATGAATTAAAATTCATCATCCATATCCATTGGTATGTATGTAATATGCTTATCACAAGGTCATTTGAGTGTGGGTCATACGCTTGAATTCACATACCTTCAAGTGATTCATGTACTTTTACAAGTGATTTCTATTAGTAAATGATCAGAGTGTAACTGGGAGCAGCATGGGTCATTATAATACAGCTAGAATCACAGAAAGAAGAAGAAATCTTTTTAAGCTCAGAAACAAATAAGGGTAGAAAAATATGAAAAGAATCTACTTACGCTAGAAATGTAAGTATGACAGTATTAATAGTATTTTACAATCACAGTGTTTGTCATGWACATGATTTGCAATTTTAATTTTATTAAAGTCTGTGTGTGCATATGGATTTGATTTTATGCTGTCATAGACACCCTGCATTTTGTGTTTCAGAATGTTTTATGAGCACATGGACTTAATTTGGGGAATTTCCCCAAAATTTCTTGAACTACAGAATAAAGTTTAATACAGTAGGTCATAAAATTCTTAACTTAAAAAATATAGTGCTCATAACACCTTGTCCTTCAAAATAATAGTGAGGATGGAGTTTTATTCTSTTCATAAAATACTTTGCCTTTTCAAAAATACGTATTTCTAAATGCATGTCTTAGAAATATGTATTATTCTATTGATATGTAAACATATGCCCTATGCAGCTAATTGTAGCTTAGAAAGTAGAATAGAAATTTTTCCTATTTTGCACACCACCTGGAGAGCTCTGCTAGGCATTGTCTAATTGAGTTTCGCTAGTGTTGGAGAACTTTTTGTGTACGTACCGTTAGTTGATGATGAGGAAAAATAAACTGTTGGTTTTGTGCTATTTTAATGACACAAAACATATATATGTATATTTAACCTCCTTATGCTGAAACAAATTTGAATACAAAGAAAAGTTTTACAGTATCATGTTAGTTTTATATTCCTATAGAAGGCAGTATTAACTTTGAAATGCTTCACTTTGTTCTTCAAAGTGTATTACAGAAAACAAACATTAGGTGTCACTAAGATATTGAGCTAAGAGAGAAAATATATCTGCAGCAATACCAAGAGTTACAGCACAAAGTGATCAATTATTTAAGATACTAGAAGTTGCACAAGTTTAAGCTAGAGCATTTTTACAAAAAAAAAAAAAAAAAAAAAAGCCAACACGTATTCTGATGACTTATTTGTTTTCGTCTGACTGAAAACGTGATATTTTTGAAGTGTGCATCGAGGTGCTTTGTGTTTATATGGTGTTTGGCCTGACCCCCTCCACGTTAAAAGATTTGTGATTTAAATAGCAGCAGGTGTATTTGTGTGGGGGCGTGTAACAGGTCTTTGCTCTGGAATAGGTGGGAGTTCTGTGCGTTTCTTCCGAGTGCCTGTGTCTGAAGGAAAGTGTGCCTGAGGATGAGCTGTCTGTATCAGTGCCTGTGAGAATGGGTCTTATGTATAAGGAAAGCAAGAATGGAAGAAGAATATTTTAGTTCTTTGCTACAGGAGCAAATTGCCTCAGTGTAAATTGACTGCGTTAAATTTATTTAGTTGGGTTTTTGTGTGTGTGTGTGTGGCGGGGGATGTTTTTTATATGCTTCTTTTTTTTAGTATAAGGCAGACAGATTATTAATTTTTTTCCCTAGGGGTTAGTGATGCTTCTTAACTTCTGTTTTTTCCACTGTGTTTCAATATTTTAGTAAAAATAAGAAAAAATGAAATCAGACAATTTCTCTTCATGTTCTCTTCATGTTCTTCATGCTCAGTTCTGTGAGGGCATTTTTGATGTGTGAAAAATGCCCAGTACGAAGGAAGGAAATGCCAACTGTTGCACCATCCATCTTGAGAATGCCAACTGCAGAGCTATTGCATCCCTCTGTCAGCTTCTCTTTCATATATCCTGTGAAATCGAGGACCTCATCCAAAAGGGTGTTGCTTCACGCTATGCGATAGTGCAGTTCGTGTGTGTTAACAAGATTTCATTGTTGGAAGAATTCCTTTGTTAGTAATACCATCTTAGATAAAATTTCAGATTGATAGTCTTTCTTGAAAATATCTTTCCAGAGCAAGATCTGTATATCTAACAAATTAGGAGACAACATAGCTGTCGTGGGTTTTTTTTCCACCCTTTTGTTTCTGCATCTCATTTTTTTGCTTACTTAGATTAATATAAAATGTAGTGAGTTTGTCACTGACTTTATTTTTAAAATTTATTTGATAACTTTTTTTTTTGGTATTATGCAAACCTTATTCCTTCTTGATTTTCTTGAGAGTTTAGGTTAGAATCGTGTAACATTACTCCAGTTACTAAGAAAATGGATCTGGAGTTTAGAAAACTTTCAATGTGAGAAAGTAACAATATGATATTTATGTGAAAATCTACTCAGTAAGGCTATTATCTGCAGCATTGTGCTTTTTATTCATACAATTGAAGYTCTATTCAGCACTTAATAAAATAATGTGTTGCAGGCAGCCCAGTTTGTGTCTGAGTGATTATGAAGTGTTTATGACAGCTTCTAAGCTGACACTCTCCGTAATGGTGTTACATTGACTTCTAAACACCTTTGCAATCTGCCTCCAGGAGTGTGTGTCTCGCTGCAGTCTGAGTGGTTTCACATTAACATCTCCTTGGAGTAAGATCTTTGACTACAGAAGTGTTACTTGCAAATGGAAGATACCATTAGAGCTGCTTCAAAGGGCTGAAATAATGTTTGGACTGCTGGGTGCTGGAGCAATGGCCGGGGTTTTGAAGTGCAGTGTCTAAATCTGTATTGCATAAGAAGCGGAAGGTGTCCATCCAAACGACTGCTCTTTGATCTGTGTTTTGAAATGGGGGTGGGAAGGTTAAAAGTGTTCTTAAAATGTGCCCCACTAAGTGGGGAGAAATCTGGGAATATACGAAAGTATGAACTAAAAGTTCCTATTTGATAATTGTGCAATGTAATTTTATGTTTTGTTTGGAATTTGTTTTTCCCTTGCTCCTAGGCTCATGTTTCAAACACAGTTGGARCTGGTTTCTGCCTAATGTGGTTTCCAAATATCTGTTCTGGATGTTCCTGTTCACAGAAATGCATGTTGGCTGGTTTTGTGGCTAATAATTTCTAATTCTGAATCTTCCAGGACACAAGGAAAAAAGTTGTATTAATTGTTCATGCTTCAATTCACAAAAAGAACTATCAAGCTTAAGTTTAGTCAAGTAGGAACTAGCAGAGGGAACTCTTAGCAAGCTCAACTGTATATTTAATTAAAAAAATAACCTATAAAGGTTGTGGTTTGGTGGCGCTACAGATGGATGGGGTGCGCCAGCCCCTATGTTGSGTGACTTGTGGTAGAGAGACCTCTGGAATGGGATGGACAAGGGTGGCATCCCACCCTGCTGTTCTTTCTCTGTCAGAACTTGAAATTATTTAAATACTGGTAGCAATAACACTTTTTTAATTTAGTAGAACTGCATTTGCACAGCAGATGGTGTGTGGATGTGTAGAATGTATAGGTTTATGTGTAATAGCAGGTCAGACATGCCAGGTCCATTTTTGCCTCCACTGCTGTTCATGGAAAGCCGTCTTTGCTGGGGTCTCAGTATAGCCTTAGTCCCTTTGCGATTCTCTCCCTTTCTAGAGCTGGGAAAAGGATTTGTTGTTTATCAAATAGGAGCTGAAATCCTCGCTCTGTCCAGAGCTCCTGATATAGGATGCCACTGCTGAGGAAAATGTAGAAATGACCTGACCTTGTAACCCTGAAGAACATGTATGACTTTGAAAAACATGTATGAAAATATTTTTTTCAAGTTTCTTTTCTATATATGGCAGAGACTGGAGGTATGCAAGAAACTGTTGTATTTTCACACTCATCAAGTGACCATGTAAATCTGTTGGAGGTGTCTAGTTTATACTGTGTCCTGTAGGAGTAGCAGAAGGGGAAAAAAAACCAAAAACATGCAGAATATTTGGCAGGCTGTAGTAAGAGGTATCAGCAGACTCTGAAGGAACTCTGTGTAGCTGCCCTTGGATGAGAATAAAGCAAAATACAGAACCTTGAGGGGTGTTTGTACTGCTTTGATATAGTCCACTTCATTTATATTTTGTATAGTAATAGTTAAAATGAATGCAGAAATATCCTCAGATTTTATAGGTAGCTTGTGGGCCGGACATGAAAAAKCTTCAAGGTATACTAACAAGTAAAATGATAACATTGAAGAAATTAAGCAAAAACATTACTAAGTTTTTTTTTCTCCAATTTGTTTTGTCATAATTTTCAGCCACCAGAGTGGACTTTTCTGACATTGAGAATTTAAATTCTTAGTAATTCTAATTAGTAATTCTAGGTAATTAGGGAAGGTTTCTTTGAATGGAAAAGACTACTTGAATTTCTAAACAAATCTGGGAAATTGTCCTTTGGCCGAAGAGCCCTTCTCACTCTTGCAGTAGTGAGAAGACTGCTGGTAGCCTTTAACCTGTGGGATTATCTCAAATAGTATTTTGTAGTGGTATCTGCTATTTTGGTTCTTCACGGATGCCTGTTGCTATATCTAAAATATATATCCAGAGTTGAAACAACTCTTATCTAATCATTACTGTKTTGTGACTTCAAAAAAGTGTAACTTTTTTAAATACAGCAAGAGGTTGTGTTCCTGCAGTGGCACTGTGGTTAAGCACACTGTTGGAAGACTTTGTCGTTTGGTGTACACTTGACTTTCTTTTTCCCCTTCCCACCATGTGAAAACCATTTTCTATGGTTGGAAACTATTAGTTATCCTTAGCATGAACAAAACTTTCTTTGTTCTGTTTTCTTTATGGGCGTAAACTGGTACTCTCCAAACAATAAAGCTCTGTCATCAAAAATTAAATGGCGCTGCAACTTGCTGGCGTGTGGCACTTGAAGAGCAGCCCCAGGGGCGAGGCAGAGGAGCGCGATCTCCTTCCTCTCCGCGGCCGTCCCGCGCCGGGGGCACCGGGGCCGCCGCTCGCCGCGCTGCGGAGGTCCGGCCTGCRCCGCCGGGCCAGCTTGGAGCCGTCATTTTGCATCCGCTCGCTCACACAGCGAGGACCTGAAGCTGCTTTTACAGCTTAATATCCAATTCTTGAAACCTGTTTGGAAATTTTCTTGGCTTGCGGAATGGGAAAGAGAAACTTTTAAGAGCTCTGAAAGCTGCCACAGGGACTTGCTACTTAGCTGGATCTGATCCAAAATGGCAGCCACAGCCTCCTTTCTTCACAGGTGCTTTTTGAAGAATTTAAAGCTCTGTCTTGACTTTGTGAAGTCTATTTATATTTTGTCTCTGCTTACGAGACAGGATAGCTCAAGGGACTGGTAATGGGCTGTGGAGCCTTTCCCTGAATACTCGCCAGGCTGCATCTCGCCCAAGCTGGCACTGGCCGAGCTGTTGGCCAGTTAGTGCTGGGCTTTGGCTTCTGGTAAAAGTCGTTATTTGTCCAGCTTTAATTCCAGCAGAATAAGCGTATTATTTGCGGAATAGATTGACTCCCTTTGTCGTCTCAAGAACCAGATAAGGCCTGATCTGGCAGGAGGCTCAGGCTATAACCTGCCCACCCTGAAGATGGTGCTTTTGGTCGAAATTGATGCACGTGACCTCAGCAGTGCTTGTGTTTTATATAGCTGGAGAAAGGCTCTTAGCATCTAGGACACTTAATTCAGGATTTTAAAAGACTGCAAATAATAGAAGTTTCTGCTGATGGTAAGACTTTAAAAAGTTAATTCCAAATCAAGGAAGGCCTCATTCTGAAGTCAGTGTTGTGGAAACCAAGATCTTGCTGATTTTTTTTTTTTTTTTTTTTTGACATGGAGCAAAGCTTTGTGCCATTTACTGTTGCGTTTTTCTGTAGAACAGTTGAGGATAGGTGATTCAAGAAAATCACGAGTGTATTGACCTACCTGTGACGTGCCCATATGTAGTGGCATTGAAATCTGATCCATGTAGTTAGTAACATCATGTCAGGTTTTCTTTTTCTTGGTTTTGCTCTTTAGAATGAGACTTCAGTGACTAATTAGGTTAGGTGGCATCTTTTTTTCCATTACAAAATCAATACTGGGTGCATCTTAAAATTTGCAAAATGTAATCTGCTAAGTGAACTGTAWGAATGGATGAATTTCTGAAGAATTATTTGCTTTTTTTTCCCCCCACCTTTGTTTATTTTTAGCTCTACACAGTTTGCAGTTTCCTAGAGAAAAGAAAATCCTCTTTAAACTAAGAGGAAAAGGACATGTTACATCTTGAAACAAAGTGGAGAGCGAACCACTTTTAATCTCGGCTTTGTCACTGTCTGACCTTATGGCCTTCATTAATCCATTTAACCTTTCTTTGGCTGTGGCTTCCCCCCCAGTGGTAAAATGGTTACTTTTCAAGGGATGAGGATTAATTAGTAAAACATGAAAGCATTATATCTATGARAAGAGTTAGGCTAGGATTTGTGTTAGGTGCTAAAGTACAAATAAATGTAACTTTGTCTTTGGAAATCTTTGGGTCTTTCTTTAAAAATCTGAGCTCTAAGCTGAGATCTTGGCATCACTAGGTCTTGGCAGCCCAAGCTGAATAAATATGCTTTCTGAAGTGTAGTATTTTTAGGAGCAGAAACTTGGTTAGTAGATTTGGCCTTCTTAGTATATTTTACTGTTGGGATTCTTACTTTATTTGAAGTAGTTTGGAGTCYGAGCCCTTGTGCTGGCATGCTCAAAAAGGAGGAGGAGGTGGTTGAATTGGGTTGGATTATTCTATGTGAATCACTTCTTCCATACTTTTGTTATGCTAGTTCTTTTTGTTTTCATAGCCATTGRTGTGCATAAACATGTATGAAACAGTATTTTCATGATTTTAGGGGGAAAAATTCTTTAATTGCCAACAATAAGTTTCAAAGCCTTATTTTTCTTTTTCTCCATTTCTTTCTTCCTTCTTTTATAGAGCTGCTGTGTTCCCATGTACAGAAAACCTACGGTTGACTAAATCTGTTTTCATCTTATTCCTCTCTTTAATTTCTCTTGTCACTCATCGCGTTCTTTTTAACCACTCGACTTTTGTCCAAACTGCCTTTTCTGAATGCAGATATCTTTGATCTAGGTGCACTTTATTTTATTTTATTTTTTCTCCCAAACTGCATCCTGAACTCAGGACCTATTAATAATAATCAGCCAACCTCCCCCAAGTGGGTTTCTGATCATCATTCTTGAGTCTGGTATAAATGTGGTCAGGAAGCTCTTCAGAGCAGAGGCCCGTTGCTGTCCCAGAGGAGGGATTAAGCTCATTTTACAAAAGCTGGAATACTGTAACACTGTGATATTTGGAAAGGGCTACTAGGTGGAAGAGTAGAAGCTGTGATGCCTGGCACACCTGCCTAGCAAAACAAGAACAGCATAGAATAAAGGGTCAGATTGCATATTGATTACAGTTTTAGAAYTTTTGGATTAGGAATAATTCTGATAGCAGCATTGGCATTAATGCTGATAAACACCACTGAGGGGCTGTGAGCTGTCTGCCCAAATTGGGAAAGTGACTAAGAATGGTGTTTCCATAAATTTTCTTCACGTAGCTTGAAGTTTATGCTAGACTCAATAAGGAAAAAAAAAGCAGTTAGCAACATCCTGTGTTTTCTGGCTGTTAACAGAATGATGGACTAGCCCTGTAGTAAAGAGTGTTTCTCAAATATTCTTGTTAAAAACTTGTGCCTTAATGGAGTAAGTTTTATTCTGCTTTTGTTKTCTACAGCAGTGATAGTAAATAATGAGGCTTAGAGCTGAGACTGGAGGTAAGCTAAGAGTCTAAATTCCCTGCTCCTCATTTGTCCAACAGCAGTAGTATTTAAAATTTTCAAATCTGTGGGTGAAAGTGGAGAAAGAAATGGGAACAACTGTAAAATGACATTTCAGAAAGTCAACTTAGGTTTTTTGACTTATGGGCTCATAAGAGCCTTGTTTCAAATAGTGTTCATTTCTGATACTGTAATCTTTATGCCAACACCTTGATAACATTTTTAGCCTCGTTATATCTGTTTTAAATTGAAGCCCATTTTCAAATAGCCAACATAACCTTTGCTGTTTTGTTGAAGCTTGACGTTCCGTATCAGATCCATTACCAGGCAGTTATGAAAATGCCTTCTGACCGAGCATTTACAGGAAGTCTGGAAATTCTTCCTAAATGCTTCTCATTTGGTCTTTTCAAGATTTCCATTATTGACAGCCTTAATTAGCTTGACCCCACCCTCCCACTTTGAAACATAACTCACACCTGGAGAATATAGAGTGTGCTAATACATCAGAGTCTCTGTTTTCCTTTAAAGCCAATGGTTGCTACTCTTAATCACTGCCTGGTGAGCCTTTTCTCAAGACATAGGCTGCATAGTACATGTGTGTGTGTCCCAGGTCCTTAAGTATTTGTTAGATTTTTATCAGCAGTCAGCTGCAAGGCTCGTTTCTTCTAAAATGTGTGAATACATTAATTGTAGTCTAGCATCTCATTCCTACACGTCTAAGCTATGCACTGAGAGGTAGATCATCTCTGTTGCTRTAATTGGTATTATTCAAGACGTATGCCTCCGTATTTTGAGGAAAATGGAGCTAGCTGKCTTGAAAGCTTCCCTACCCAAGCATGCTTGCCATGGTTTTTCATATGAAACATTCCACATACTGTTGCATTTTGATTTAAGTTGGCTGATCTTGTATGGAAATTAAGGGAGTGGGGAGAATATTAACTCTTGGTTATTTCTGATGTGCTCTGTGTTGCTGCTTAGCTGAGTCTGTCCCTGCCACTAGGTGGAAAACCCAACAAATGGGGTTTCTATATTAAAAGGAAGCTAAGAAACTTGAATAATGCAGCCCAATACGCTACTGTGGGATGYCTTGTTCTAGAAATAACGTCATTGATCTAGGACATTTTGTATGTAGTTAATTTCCTGTTAATGCATTACAGATTGAATGATTTTGGGAATTTGTTTCTTTACTAGATTGACTTTTTTAAAGGCACCTAGTCAAGTTTGTAAGTGTAAAAACATCATTTTTAGCATATCTCTTTCATTGGAGGCTTGCCTGTTGAGAGAAAAGGAACCTGAGAATGCTTCTAAASTATACCTCTGCCTAAAGCTGTGAGATTGAGAATTGCACTGTTCTCTGTGTATTATTGGTTCCATTCAGTGCTTGCCTTGTAAAGAGTCTCACCTGCTGTGCACAACAGCAACTGCCAGAATAAAACTGCAGGTTTCTTGTGAGTAAGCARCTCTTAGTGGGGGAACCAATTTATTGTTCTGTGCAATTGTGCATCCTCTTCTATCCAGAAGTTGGCTTTTCTCAATCCTTTGTGTGCTTCGCTATGGATCAGTACTTTTTTCTAGGAGTTATTATATGCTGCTATTATTTTTTACATTATCTGCTCATAATCCATATGTTTTGCAGATTAGTGGTGAAGCGCAGGAGCTCTTTTCCATGCGCCATGGTCCAGTTCGAGCTGCACGAATCTTACCAGCTCCACAAATTAGTAAGTATAGATTTGTATKGTGCAAAGCTATGCTTAACTCTTTCTTTACAGATGTTTGTGCAAATTTTTGTTGTAACCTGTTCTGTCACCTTGACTAAATTACCACTTCATAGTAGCTTTTTACAAGAATTACTTGTTTCTTTTCTGCTCCGTACGCCAATGCTTCTTCCATTTTCATCTTAAGCTTGTGGCTGCCTTTGTAGTGGCGTAGGTAAATACATCCATGCTGAGTAATCAGTACATCCTTGTTAACATTTCAATTGGAAATGTTTATTGTTAATGTTTATAGCTATAAAACACTCCTAAGAGGTGTTTCTGCCSATTGTTCCTAACAGAAGATTTTTAATAAAATTTCTTTTTTTTCCCCCCCGGATAGTCATATCCAGACTATTTACTCTTCTCTGTCATTAAATAATGTGTTTTTTGTGTTTCACTCTCCCCGCCAGATGAAAAATGGAGAATTAAATCTAAGTGGCTGTGAAGGAAGTTAATTGAAGTATCTGCAAACTGTATTTCTTCTGATGTGTAATAAGTTACACTGCTTAGGAACTTTTTCCTAAAGTGGTTATCCGCTTTTTCAAAATTGATTATATTGAGCATTTGACAATGATAGCTGTTACATTAGAAAACTATTCAAATTAGGTCATATTAAATCGTCAAACCTTTTAAAAACATGTTTTGGTCTCTCTTCACACGGCTTGGTTTAAATAAAACTTCGATTAAAAGTACATGGATGTATCATTGACCAGTATCTGGAATCAGATAAAAGTAAAGCTGTAATAAGACGCCTCAGATAACTAACACATGAGCTTTAATGATTCTGAGCAAAATAAAAGGAATTTGTAAAGGAGAAGCTGATTACCATCAGTAGGCTCAAACGTTATTTTACTGCAAAGCTGTACAAAGGGAATTGTTGAAAGTGGGACTCCCGGTGGATGGATTTGGCACGTTCCTAGAAGCTGATCTTAGTTTGTGATAAGAAGCTCATTCCCAGGTGTGAAAGGAAAGCTTATGGTTTTAACTTGGTGACTTTACAGCAGTAGAACTTAATAGTTTGTCAACTATTTTGCTAAAATACTGTGGCCCTTTGATGTTAGATTCTCCGCTGCATCATGTTCTTCATAGCATAATAAAGCATTGTTTAATAAGAGTTATTTCATGCAGGCTTATAGCAAAGGAGCCCTTCTCGATCTGATTTAGCAGGTTAAGCGCTCCCAGGAACAGGACGGTGGTGCGAGACCTGGAGCTGGCCTTGCACGCTGCCAGTGCAGATCCAACAAGTTTATTAGTGCAGGCTCTGTGCCATGCTGGAGCAGTTAAATGCCTTTTGGTGCTGGTCTGGCCTGGCAGCCACACTGCTATGTTCATGCTGGGTTCTGTCTGAGCTAATAAACCAGGCAAGACCTGACCTGGCCCAGCAGAGCACTGCTTTGATGTCTCTGTGGCACAGTTAAGCTGCAGCCTAGATAAAACGTCCATAAATAGAGAGATGCCTGTAAATAACCCCCTAAAACCTATGTATTTGCTATCCTCTGTGAACCTGCTGTATTCCACTCACAAAATATAGGATCAGAAATGGAGAGAAACGTAGGTAGTAAGAAGCAGAAGAAAGTTGTGGCGGAGAACTAATGCCTTCTGGTTTGCTATCAGCTCTAATACAAAATGACCTCCTGATAGAGAGGTTTGAAGGCAGGAGGCCACTGTTGAAAACTTCTGACTCTAATTTCCCTGAGAATTACCCCTGAGGTGCCTAAAAAGTAAGTAATTGTGCATAGGAGTTTTTACAGTCARTCTCTCCCATAGCTGTACAGTAATATTCTGCAGGTGACTTATGCATCTCCTCTACCATAGCTGGAATACATTGCCCTTCTTGAGGTAGCAGGGGCACAAATGATAGAAAAAATGGACATTTGGCAAGTCAGCTGCAAATGAAAATAACTTTTGGTCACTGATTCATGGTAAACMGGCATTCCTTTGACTCTGCACAGACAGTAAAGCTCATGTTACTAGTTATTTTAGTAATTCCTGTTACTCCACTCCTAGTTGAATAGAAATTTAGCTGCAGTTGAATGGAAGCTATGAAATATCGTATGAAACTGTACCTGATAGTTGTAAGCTGTGTGTACAGTGCGTCTCAGGTGCTTCTCGCACTGTCATAGAGAAAAATAGCCAGGAGTGCCTTTCCCTTTTGGCCCTTTAAGCTAAAATACATCGTAGGTTTCTTCTGCTGTTGTGATTGCATCAGAACATAAGCAGCTCATTTCCCTGGCTGGAAGAAAAGAACCTTTAACTGAAATGTAAACAAACAGTCATCTACTTTAAAAATCAGATATTTTTCTTTAAATGACTCCTGAAATAAGTTTAACTTCTGATCTCAATTAAATATTTGCTGTCCTTACAGTGGATTGTTACTTGGATAATTCTCTACAATTTGGAATATAAGTGGCTTTCTTGGAGCTTGAAATTTTACCATATGACAGACTTTATGTCTAAAGGAAGCAGATAAAATTGCATATCTGATACTCAGAATAGGAGAACATCCCTATCGATGCTGTCAGTCCTCGGGAAAGAAAAACAAGCCTCCACAACCCAAGCCTCGGCATTTTGTGCGCAACATGCTGCATTATCAGCTGAGCCATCTGGTTGGCACAGCTTCCTAACGCGCCAAGCTCTCCACTTTCCAATCTGTGTGCTGTGATTGGATTTAGTACTTATTTTATGAGCATACAGGTGCCTGGTTTGCAGGGTTCTGGATTTCCCTGTGTGTTCAGATACATCAGGAATAAAAAGATGATGTGCAATATTTAAAATGGGTTCTTATCATCACAGTTTCTCTAGATGAACCTGAATCCCATCATTTTCCTTTTCAGTGATTGCAATTCTACTTGTCCACTGAAATGATCATTCTCTAAATTTTGAAAAGTAAAAATGATGTGACTGCATCTATTCTATAGCCCAGCAGGAACCGCTGGCTCTTGGCAGAATTTTTGTTTATCCATTGGCGTGTTGCTTTTATGGACTAAAAGCTGAAGGCTAAAATGAACCTGAAAAGCTATAATTAAATGGGATACAGAGCAGTTTTCTTTCTGAAATCTTACAAGAGACAAAAGTTGAAGTTCTTTGCAGTTTTATCTCTGTGCTCTTTTTCTTATATCTTTGATTTTGGTMAAGTATGAACCACAAAAGCTGACTCAACTGCATTTGCAGGTATGCTTAAGAGCTGTAATATTTAGGTTGCTTCCTAAAGGCAGGCAGATGGGAGGTTTGTATGTGTTCAGCCACTTGGGTGGTTTAGCGGTTTTGGACCCTCAAAGCTGAACTAATTGCATAGTGTGTGTAGCAGAGAAGTTAGCCCTACAAGCTGAGCAAGCAGTAGCAGTTGAGCTAGATCTGGCTTGGGGTCAGTGGATGGTGCAGGTGTGCATCTAAATTTTGGTGTTTGATAACTGTTGTGTGGGTGGGTATGGTATAATGAAGGTTAACATGTGTGGATTGCAGAAATTACAGAACTCAAGTGTAGCAAGGAGGCCTGTGATAGATGTTCTAGGGAGGGATTTCAGAGTACACCATCTTAAAATGCTGGTTTCGTTGAGGAGATGTGGACCTACCTACGTGCTGACTTTTCAGTGCTCGCCAGATCATATCAATATTTTAGACCAGTAGACTTCAAACTTCCACCATGTCTTTATGTTTTTCAAACAAGATCAAATCAAAATACAATATTTTCTTTCCTCAATGTGTGACTCTTAAAACCACTGATCAACAGCAGATGTTTTACAATCTTTCCCATTTTCCTATAGAAGCTACTTTGTTAACTAAGAATAAAATTACTGTGTTCTGAGAAAGAAAACGGCTTTCTGTAAACGTGCACGGCTGTTTCTCTTTGACCAGAGATCTGTGATGTTTACACTGAATTTGAAACCACTGCCAAGTATAAGGACTTCTTGTAGGAGGCTGCTAGAAGTGATTCAGTCCTGTATTATTGCATTGCTCATTAAAATCAAAGCCAGTTACTTCAATGTCTATTAAAAAAAAAAAAATGCTTTTTAAAGGCTTCCTCCAGCAAATACATCTTCTTATAGTTTCTGTATCTGCCTAGGGTCCATCCTGGCCTCCTCAACCCTTAGAATTTCCAGAGCTCTTTTGAACTTGTTTGTTTGTATGTATTTTCTCCAAATACTTGTGCACCTTGCAGTCGGGAGCTCAGAGATCTGCTCTCCAGCACCTGTTGTGTCCTCCTGACTCTTGTAGTTGCTTCTTGTGGTTTCGCTTTCTTACTGCCTCAGAAAAGGAAAAGGGCAGAGGAGGCAGCAGAAACTGGGATTATACTGGAGTTGAAGCAGCTTTTAGGCTGATAACTTTGGGGGGGGGGGTGAAGGAAACTGGTATGATGTTGCATGCATTAGAGAGGAGCTTTGATATTTGAAATGTCTGGGTGATGCTAGGAGATAAGTAAGATAGAATAATGCAATGCTGATGGGCTAGAACATTAATCCTAAAGGAGCACACGAAGGTCTGGGATGAGGAGAGCAGTCACAGCTTCACTGGTCAGGAATGATACTGAGTAATGTGGTTAGAGCTTATCTGTGCAGGAAATAGAGCATTTATAGATACTAGCCTGAAGCTGAGGAAAGAATTCACACACTATTTTTAGGGCTGAGTCAAAGCTCTTCATTTCTGTTTCAAGTAGCAAGTATTCTCTCTTTTTTTTTTTTTTTTTTTTTTTTGCACTTCCATTCAATAGCAAATGCCTAACAGTGCAGATACAAAATGTATGTGATGATTTTAAAAATGCTAAGAAGAAAGGATTTCTCCTGAAAGGGAGAAGTGAGACAAGGAGTGAAAAGCATGCACGATGAATGTCATTTAATGCGCTTCCAGGTAGTGTTTGACTGCCAGAGTGACATGGGGCAGAATTACAAATGCAGCACAACTTTCAAGAAATGGATAAGAAATAAGAGGGGACCTAGCTGAGCAGAATATTACGTTGCCACGATGCAACTCAATGAGTAGAATTATATACCAGAAAGATACTTAATAATGAATGTTATCTTCTATTGCTAAATAGATCAAAATTTGATGTTTATATTTATTACTCAAGGGAATTTAGTTGATATGCAGGCCATTTCCATGGTTTTAATCACCTCTTGTGCTCTTATGGAAATGAATGGGTTAACATTTTTTCTTAAAGTTTATTATTTAATGTTCTATTACTATTAGCATTACTGAAAGACCTTAGTAGGCTCAGGAGAGATTTATTCACAGCCTCATCAGAGGCACAATACATGAACTGGTTTGAGCCTTTGCATGTGGATAATCTCTTGACTTCATAAAGTTGTAAAGTTGATTTGTATGAAATGTCATTTACCCGGAGATTATTTTTTCCAGGTTTATAAGTATACTGATTTTTTTATTTTTTATTTTGTTTATTTTTTAAAACATTCATATCATTTAGCTAAATGGAGCTGTAGATAAGGTGCCTTGTTGGCAGGAAAGGCAGTTTTCATTACTCTAATTGTGTGATTTGTCAGGATTTTCAGCTTTTTATAAATGCTGTAGTGTTATATGACAGAATTAAAAGGATTTGGAATAAAAGGAGTTTAAGAAAAAGACTTTGCAACAGGATTTCAATACTTTTTATATTTGATGGATTTATCTAGCTGTTTTTCCATTTCAATCATCCTGCTGCATTTTGTTAAACACTGTGCAGCAGGTGTGTACAACGTCAGTATATTGCACATGCAAATAAACACAATTTTAAATATAAAAATTAATCCACCATAACTTGGAAGATTAAATTTTATCCCAGAACTAGAAGGGGTTGCTGTGTCCATTAAGCATTGTAGAGAACGACACATGTTGTTTGCAATCTCATGGACAGGACTGCTATTAACCTGATTTAATGCCCTGCAGGGTCCTCAAAATGCTTTTTTATTTGTTTCTAGTGCATTATTAGTTATATTCTAAAATCATACATATATTTGAAATAAATAATGGATTTCTAAATGGTGGATTTCGCCAGTGCAGTCAGAAGCCACGAGTTTTAAGTACCTGTTGTACAGACTTTGTTTTGTAGGTATTAGCTGAGATGTATGCAGTTGTTTCCTGCCCACACCTGTAAAGCCTCTTTCTTTCCTCTTGTTAAGCTTAGAACTAGACATAAACAYGTGAATTCACGTCTTCAATCTTTTTTTTTWAAATAAAGAAAAGTTAAATATACAAGATGAAATTTAGTTTGTACCTAAATCCGTGTCAGGACTGCTGGTRTTTGCCGTTTCAGCCTTAGTGCTGAGATCCTGACTAGCTGAACAGAAACAAATGCAGTTCATCTGTTACTTGTGTTGAAGAAAACAAATTGTTTGCCAGATTCTTAAAAAGACTTTTTATGTTTCATTAATCAATTTACAGGTCAGTACATACAGTACAGGTGTGACCCTTAAAAGACCCTGAAAGAATAGGAATAAAAAGAAAATAGAAGTAACAGACAAATGTAAAGCTATTGTTGATGGTGAAATTATTGATGTGACCTGTTTAACTTTATGAATACCCAGCGTGTAGGAGGGAAGACTTAYCCTCATATAGATGAGAGTGCCGAACGGTTTTTGTTATAAATTAATTACAAGGACCCGAGTTATTAATAATTAACAGAGACTTATGTGAAAATAAAACTTCTGTGTTGTTCCTGTTAATGCAGTGTGGCTGCACCATTATTTCAGAATTAAATTTTGAAGTAGAAGATGCCAAAATCCTGCCAAATTTTGCTATTCATCTCATTTACCTTAGGCAGCCAATATCCTGGCATATTGAGTGTCTCCCTCTACCGCCTCCCCTCCCTGAAATACACATACATGGACTTTGAAATGTGGCACAATAAGTATATAGTGATTTTTTTTTTCCCCTTTTACTAGGTGCTCAGAAATGTGATAATTTTTCTGAGAAGAGACCTCTTCTTGGTGTGTGCAAAAGCATCGGATCTTCTGGGTAAGAACGCTTTTCATGAGTCGGGTCTTATATAGAGACTGTAAAGTCCTCCAAAAAGAAAATTTATTTAAAGTTCTTTTCTCCCCACCTCACCTTTTTTTCCCCTTATGGGGTATCTCTGTAAAAGGCTCTTGAAGGTTTTGAAGAGGTATTGAGCTTGTTTGATTCTCAGTGTAATGACAACTTTGATTAGCCTTTTCTGATGTTAATCAAAATGATTATTGAGAAGTCTCTAAAACAAATCCCTATATGGAAAAATAATGGAATGATGCCTTCAAGCAGGAGGTCATAGAGCGGGTCACTGTTACAGTCACTACTATTCATTAGCTGAACACACATTAAATCTACTTTTTTTTGAGCTAGGAAAATGAGGTACCAGTACCCTGATGGTGTTGCCTCTTATAGTTATATGTCTCCAAATACAGTATAGAAGTCTAAATCAGACATTCAGCTCGGATTTGAAGATTAGAACATTATTAAACAACAACAAAAAGTGCTACAGGCTCCATTTTTTTTTTCCATTTAATAAAGAACCCATTTGTTTTTGGTGGTAATCTTTTACCAGAAGATTTTGAAACACTTTCTACATTTGCTGTTTGCTGAAAGAGCTATTGCAGATGGTGTTTTGTCTTAAGCTTAAGACAAAGAACTCAGCTTAAGAGTTCTATGATAGTTGATTCTCTCCCCAGGACTCCTCTTGTGGTTTGCTGTTGCTGCTCCTGTTGCAATATATATGTATTATTTCTTGTTGTAAATAGACTCAAATATTACACTTGTATTTCCTTCCGATAAATTCATAGATCGTTTGTTTACAGTTTGATTTCTGAAATGATTGTTCTTCATCAAGAAGCATTTGTGTAACATGTCAAAGAAACCATCACAGACTTAGTCTTGTTTTTAACTTGGAGTTTTGTGCTTAACATCATTTCCTATACATCTAAATGGTGGCAGAAAGATAGAAAATGTAATTTCATTATATAACTGAAGAAAATACTACATTTACTCTAGAGCACATGTAAATAAGTCACATGTAAATATATATAGTGTATATATATTTTACATCTGACTTATTATAATCTCAACAGGTTATTAACTCATACATTAAAGTTTAGCAGTTGCTGTAAATTATGACCTGCTAACCTTGACCTTAACAAAACATATTTTAAAAAGCTGTTAATACTGTGCATACACATTCCTGCATGATAGATGAAGGATTATACTTACCAATGTGGTGGTGTATTTTGTAGTTCTAACGACTCATGGAGATATATTCGAATGCATAAAGTGAGCTATTTAAAGTTAATTATTAAAATTACACATGCAGCCTATAAATGTTAGAGATGCTCAGATATTAAAGTAATATAGATGTAATAAATGCAGGTCATGTATAAATCTACTGCAACTGTTGTTACATAATGACATTTAATGGTACTTTATACTTTGGGACTATATCAATGAGATATTGACACATTCAGCCTTGGAACTGTCATTTCCTGGTTCTGACCACTAGTCTGCATTAGTGGTTAGCATCAGGAAATTTTTCTATATTCCTTTTGCTGGAAAATTAAACAAACAAATATCTGTTACAATAAGGGAGGTATAATAGAAGGATCTTTGTTCCTTAATGTAGAACATTCTTGGGTATAGAATGAAAAGAATTTTCAAGTGCTAGTGAGTTAATTCAAAAGCATTGCTAATACTAAGTAACTCCAGTAATCTGTAATATACCGTGCATTTTAATGTGAAAGAGCTGATGAATAATTTTCCCTCCTAAACATTACTAGGACTCTTTTTTAAAATAAAATACAGATGGGCATGGAAGTATTTTATGCAGAATAATGTTTGCCTAAAATCAACAACAGAAGTTTGCCTGTGGACTTGTGTTAGATGGCATTTTTTGGTCATTAATACAGTGAGACCCCTTTATGAGAACTTAGAGTTAAAATAGTTTAATTCCAAGATCACCTCATGTTTTGTTGTATTGTGGGGTTTTGTCTAGTCTGAAAATATTAAAGTATTCCTCTGACAGATTTAACAGCATTAACTTGAGAAATCAACTTGTGGAACACTTGGTTTACGAATTGTATCTTTTTTTTCATAGCGTAACCTAAGTCAGTATGTATAATCTATGATAGTAAAATTTATTATTYTGAAAAATATTTATGAAGATCTTAACCTTCTGTTCAATATGTTTCAATAGTGAGATCTTAAAAGTTGAATGAGTGTTACTGTGTAGAGCCTGCTCTACAAATTTTATTCTAGTGCTTGTAAAATTAAGGCTTCCCACTAAAGTGGTGTTAACCAGTCTGTTACTGCTTGGAGAATGTCTCATCTTTTGGTCACTTGAAATGATTTAAATAGTTGCTTGATTCAGTGCATATCGTAACTCCAGTTACGTGAGGACTTCGATGGAGAAAAGTAGTATGTTATTCAGAAAACTATTCGTGTCCTCAGGGTCCAGCGCTGATGTTTCTGTGAAGTGCTGAGGATGCAGAGGGTGATTGCATCCCATTCTRTTCTAATCCCTTTCTTGATTACGTACTACTCAGAGGTTCATGCTGTTTCACAGTACTCTTGTTAACAGGGATAGGGAAAATGTGGTTTATTACAAAGTGGTAAAAACTCACCTGGTGACCAACTTATGTATTGTTCAAATGTATTATTCTTGGAAGTTCCTAATATTTTTAATGAAGAAACCTCAGTGTAATTGCAATTCATAGGGAATAAGGTAAGTTTTTTTCTAAAAATATTAGTATTGCACACCTGGAAACCAGCTAAACTTTCTGGATTTGATCAGCAGTATTTCTGTTCTTCCATGGTACAGAGTTCAGCAGATGACACTAAGACCCATTTGCTGTGATGGAAAAGTAGTGATTTTCTTCATGTTGTAGTCTGGTATTTTGTAGGGCAACACGTTAGAAATTATTTGGGAATGAAAAATTTCCCAGCTTGTACCCAAAATAGACRAAAATGCATTTTTTTATTATTTTTGTTTAGCATGAGTCTCTTTGAACTGAAGCAAGGAAACTATTTTTGTGCTAGGCTGCGTTGGAGAGAAACTGCTGTTTTGAAATTAATTTCTCACACCTGCTTCATGTAAAAGTGCTTTAAAATACATTTGCAACCAATCTCGGTCCTTGTCCTTGATAATAAATATGCAAGTAGGAAAGACCAAACCTGTGTTTTCTAAACTTTTGCCCTGTAGCTGAGCTGCAAACTAGCTTTTTGTGCCTACAATTTTGTATTTTAAAAGTCAAATTTTCCATCTAGTAAAATGAGTGAAATGTCTAGCACAGTTTCACTGGATAATCTTTTCAGAATAACAGTTTTCTCAGCCCCCAGAAAGGATGCAGTCTTGACTCAAATGGGAAACAGATTGTGTTTTTTGGCTGATACTACTGTCCTGGTTTAGATGTTGATTCAGTCAACTTCAGTCTTAGATTACAAGATTTGCAAATTAAAGGAAAACCAAAACGGAAAGAACATTTGTATAAATTCTGTGTTGGTGGAACTTTGTGCAGGCAGGGTTGTTGTGTCCACGGGACCAGCACAAACAGTCCTTTGGTGCGTGCACACGCGTTTGCTCACCCCGTGGCTTGCAGCTCATCTCAGTGAGCTTTGTAGGTGTTGGAACATCAGAACTAGCGGTGTGTAAAATGAACAAAGCAATGGTGGTGGCCACAAAACTACCCGGCAGGACCCGTCTGTGGTGGTGGGAGTTATAGAATGTAACGACTAGCTGGCTGAGAGCAGTTAGGAGCCAGTCACCCCACCCCAGCCTTCTATCCAAAGAGTGGAGAAGGGGGGGGAAAAAAGGATTTTACATGTTTGCATGCTTGACACTTGCCCAACTAGGCCAATATAGAGGCCAAAAAGACGTTTCCTTTGAAAATGTGTTGCCAGAATCTCATAAAGACACGTACAATACATCACACTACTRTGCAAATGTTGCTGGTTGGGAGGTCAGTCATAGAAAGGTGGATTTTTTGTTTTTTAAATATGCCTTTAAGATATTAGTGTGTGAGACGGTTAAACCATCTCTTCTAAACACCTTCATTATGGAGGGTGTTAATATTTTAAGATCATGTAATCCTCTTCCTTGTTTGGCAAACCAGTCAATGTCCAAATCTGATATCTGTTCTAATAGTCGTTGAGTTTTGGTGTTTCAAATGAGCGAGCTGTGAAATGATTTGTCAGGAACAAACAGCAAAGCTTTCAGGAAGGATCACCCAAGAGAAGGAAATTAGCTGTGATGAATGAAGTTCTTGTGCACGGTTCCCACACTGCCCTGAGTAACTCTTCCCGAATATTTTTACTGGAACGCCATTGCAAATAAGTGGTTAGGACTTCAGACTAGCCAGGCTGTGCCAGAGTCTGAATCATACAGTAGAACGTGTGAAGGGTGTTTCCACTTCTAATTAAGAAGATGAAATAGAGCATATTTTTATCCTAATCACACATGGAGAAAAAAAATAAAGAAGACACAAATTGGATAAATGGTTATGATTTTTCAAATGTATTAGACACCATGAAGTAGATTACCTGGAGTTTGCTAAATATTTGTGGTCTTTCATTGAAGACTCTACAAAATTTTGTCTGCTTCTGGCACATTCCCCTTCAAAACAGAATAAACTTAGAGGAGCTGTAGGTCTTGATTCTTTTGTGTGTCTCAGCTTCGGTTAAGTAGGAGGAATGAGAGAGCAGAGACAGCACCARTTTTGGTTTGTGACAGCTTTGAAACTGCGCAGTTTTGTTTTCTCACTGGAAAATAATTGCATATCTTTATCGAATGCCGATACAGGTTCTGGCGTTTTGTTGATGCTTTATGCTGCTTAGCAGTAGGTGGTTCAAGACCACCTTTTTCTTGCAACTTGTTTTTGTAACCTGAACGCACTTCCGCTGCACTTGTAGTGTTCAAGTGAGTTTTATCAAGTAATTTTGTAAAACTTCTCATAAATTACCATGAGATAGGGCCTTAATAGGCAAAGGCAGTGTTTCTA